GAGATCCCGAAGCCCCCAGCGCGGCAGGCAGGGACACGGGCTTGCCCCTGCGTCCTACTCCCCGATCTCCTCTCCTGCCCTCACCCCTGCCCCGTCCCCAAGCACTTGGCTGCAACCTTGGGCCTCCTCACTCTGCCCGGGGTACACGGGCCACTGTCACCTTGCACCTCTCCTCTGGGTTACCCCACGCTGCCCATCTGTCATTGCAGGGTCTTTCCTCCTCACCGGAACGCTCACTGCTGCACCTGCCCGGGGGGCCGCGCAAAGGACACATGTGTGAGTGAGTGAATCCTTGAACATTTAATGCAATTGAATGCAAAAAGGTGCCGGGTCCTAAGTTCTTGAATATTGTGATTTCTTAATAAATTCAATAACACCCTCCTACCTTTCTGCTTACTAATCATTAACCTAAATAGCTTATCGAGTGTGCATTTGAATTGAGAATCTCAAGGCTAATCTGATAAAACGTTCCAGAGTGGAAAAACTACGAATCTGATCTTTTCAAACAACTTTAATCGGGTGCAACTGACGCATACCGAACCGCATCGGTTTAACGTGCCGTTCGATGAGTTCTGACATTACGCAGCGCCTGCGAAACCATGAACGCCAAACTTCATCGTCTCCCCACCGGATTCTAACTATGCAGGATCACACCGAAGCCTGTGCCTGTGAACGGGTCCAAGCAGCTGGAGTGGCTCCCAGGTGGGCGGTCTGTCAGGGCCCCAGGCCCACCCGGGCACAGGAGGGGCTTAGACCGGGAGGGGAGCCCCTCAGTGACCCGAGATGGTGTCCAGGGAGGCCACCTCCACATGACGGCTGAGAGCCTGCCGGCCTAGGCTGACCTCTCTGCTCCCGTCCGGTCTGGATGCTTTTCCATCTGGTCAGCCACACCTCCAGAAGCCACCGTCTATTGGATGGTGCTGGCCTTTGGCCGCTGCTGGAAGGTGACCTGATGGCAGGTGACCATTGGGCCTCTGCCACGTCCCCCTGGACAGGATGGGCAGGGCCTGTCCATGGGACCTCCAACAACGCTGGGGCGCAGGTGCACCCCGGCTAACTGAGGAGGCTGCACGGAGCTTGCTACCTGCCCTGTGGGTGGTGGCCAGGCAGCGTGTCATCAGAGCCCCTGCGTTTCCTGAGGAACACCTGCTGCTGAAGTCTAGGGTGCTGTAAGCACCTGGAAGCAGCCCCTCCCTTCCACACCTCATAAGCAGACG